CGGGGACAGCTGGTTGCCCCTGCCTGCAATCCCTCGGGCCGAGGGGGGCTAGGAGGAGGAGGGGGAGGGGGAGGAGGAGGAGGAGGAGGAAAAGGAAGGAGGAAAAGGAAGGAGGAGGGGGAGGGGGAGGAGGAGGAGGAGGAGAAAAAGGAGGAGGAGGAGGAGGAGGAGGAGGAGGGAGGAGGAGGAGAGGAGGAGGGAGGAGGAGGGAGGAGAGGAAGGCTGACGAGTGGCGATGAGGGGCAGGAGGATGATGACGAGCAGGAGGGTGGGAAGGGGGAGGGAGACCGCCCACGCCTGCCGCCTGTCGAAGGGGGAGGCGCCACTGTGACCCCACAGTGGGGACGCGAAGCAAGGGACCCGACGCCTTCCGTCAGTGTGCCTCGGGTTCCCTCGCTTCGCGCGCTGCGCGGCGACTTCCTGCGGGCGTGGCTTTTTTCGGAGGCCTGGGCGGAGCTTTCGGGCCGCGGCCGGCCGCGGCCTCCCGCGGCAAAAAGCCTCCCGCGATCTCTATCCGGAGGCGCGGCCGGCCGCGGCAGCAGTGGGGCAGAGAAGTGCATTTGAGTCGGGCGTGTCCCCCCACAGGCGGATTTTGGACGACAAATCAAACATGCCCCTAAAATATGGAAAAACATCAAACGTAGTTTTTAAACATCGTCCCCAGACTATTTTTCGACTATTTTTGAATATTGCTCCTGTAGGGGGGCACGCACGACTAAAAAAATATATAAGACTGACACAGTGCGTGTAGCTACTGCGAAGGCCTTACGGCCGTTGCCGCCGATCCTGAAGGGGATCGACGGCAACGGCGGCGGCGACAACGACGCTGACGTGGGTCGGAATCCTCACGGATGCTTCTTGGGGTTCCTTCGAAGCGCTCTCGGGGGTCTCTGGGGGGCTTCTCGGGGCTTCCTGGGCGCCTCTTTGGGGGCCTCTTGGGGCCTCAGTGCGTGTAGCTTTTCCTCCGCGCCCTCCCCCGATGCCTCCTCCAAGTGTGCAGCAACGGCAATTTTCTGCAGCGCCTCCAACGCATGTTTCTCTCCTAAGAACCCAGACCCCCGACGTCATGATTTTTTCATGACGCGACCCCCAGAGGTCTGGACCCAATCCCCGGGACCAGTCTTTCGTCCTGAGTCCTTTTTTGACGGTCCCGAGGCCTGGTAAGGGCCCCCTGAGGCCGAAAATGCAGCAGAATCTCCCGTCGTGCTTTTTTCATGACCCGAGGGGGTCTGGGAAGAGCAGCCACTCGCGCTCTCTTCTGCCTACGCGTCCTGCCTGACGCTTGGCTTCCTGCTGCTGGGCGCATCTCTCGGGTCGGCGCTGGACCCCCCCGTGCTGCTTGCTCCTGGCGCCGCTGCGCGCGCCAGGAGAGGCACGGGGGGTCAGCGCCGACCCGGCAAGCCTGCGCGGGCCTCCGACAGCTTCTGCGGGGATGGGGGTCGGAGGTTCCTCCGCTCCTGTTCGTTGCCGCTGCCGACCCGGAGAGCCGACGCTCCAGCAGAGATGGGAGCGGCGGGATTTTGGCAGTTTTCGGCCTCTGGGGGCCCTCGCCGGGCCTCAGGAGCGTCAAGGAACGGCTCGGGACGAAGACCCGGCCCCGGGGAAGTGGTCGGGACTTGGGGGGCTTCGGCTTCCAGGGGCTCGCCGGGGCTTCGGGAGCGTCAAAGGACGGCTCGGGACGAAAAACCCCTCCCAAGTACGCATCGGAAAAACTGGTGCGCAGGATTTCTGGTGTCGCATGTGTTCGTTTGTGCCGATTTTTGCCACCACCCACCAACGCAACCCAACCCAACCCGATTGCCCAAATTTACCTTCGATTTTCAGTGGGAGGGGGGGGGGTCGAGGAACATCGAAACTTGGGTCTTCGGGTTTGGTTGGGGTGGTCTGGTAGGTAGTCATTTTGTGTCTCCGTGGATGGGGTCGGAGCTTCGGTGCGTTGCGGCGCGATCCTTCCGAGGCGGGGATTTGCCCATTCATAACCACCGCCTGGGGGATCGATCGTCGCGGGCTTCCACATATGGTGGACACGGACACCTTCGGACTTCTGGGGGCCAAAATATACGGTGGAGACCCATGCCACGAAACACCCTGCCTGCCTCCACGGTGCCTTGGGTTTCTTGGGTTTCGATGGTTTTGCTGTGGAAGGCGTGACGTTTTCACACCAAAAATCGATGGACGTCCTGGGGTCTCAGGATTGGGTTTCTTGTGGAAGGTTTCTTATGGTCGGGCCCCTACTGTAGCCATATCTCCACCGCCCACTGGGGCACCAGGGCGTCGGTTCCCCGGCGGTGGATATGGACCCGGACGTTTGGCCGCTCCAATTTCTTCGATGCGCCGGCCCCGGAGGTCTGTACCACTTCCCCACGGCCGGCTTTTCGTCCCGAGCAGTTGTTGGGCGCTCCCGAGGCCCGGCGAGGGCCCCCCCAGACCGTAAGAAACTGCCCAGATCCCGCCGCTCCAATTCTATTCGGGGCTGGAGCTTCGGATCTCTGGGTCGCAAGCTCCGACTCGAGTCCTCGGGCCCCTTCTCTACTCCCCCCCCTCCGCCGTCGCCGATGCAGCGGCCATGCGGCGGCGCGTGCGGCGCGAGCCTCCGGCCCCCGGCCGCGCTGGCCCCGCTGGGGGAGGTGGCCGCCTGGCCTGTCCTTGCCCTTACGTCGGGCACGTCCGTCGAAAGGGGGAATATTCGAGAGTAGTCGAGGAATAGTCTGGGGACGATTGTTTGAATATTTTTAAATCAATTTCGGTGTATTTTTTGTTATTGCAGTATTTCGGCCACCTGGGACGATTTTTGGAGTATTTTTCGTCCAAAATCCGCCTGTAGGAGGACACGCCCGACCTAACTTCTTAACCCGTCTGTCAGAAGAGAACAGACGCCGTACGCCGGGACGGCGTGCCTGCAGACGGACTGCTTTAAACCCGAAAAAGACACGAGGCGGAACTTGGTCAGCAATCTCGCACGAAAATCAGATGTGCCGGAGACCGCAGAAAGAGGAGAAGGAAGAGGGGGAGGAAGAGGGGGAGGACGAGGATAAAGAACACATCGGCGTCACGTGACGCCGATGTGTTGTTCATCTTCGTAACATTAGTAATGATGTCATGTGTGCGCCGCCCCTCCAGGGGCGACGCGCGCACCGAGAAAGCTTACCTTATATGCGTCGTGGCGTTGGCTTTCTAGCCACACCGCTCGGGAAACGATGTACTACAAGATGGGTCTACTATATGTTCGGGTCGGACGCGCATCTCCAAGGAGGACATATAGTACTAGTATGTCTCTGTGCGTTCCAGAAACAAGTACAACCGGCCTTGTGGGCCCTGGAAACGACAGGGCTGTTTCTTTATTGGTTCCGCTTTGCCGTTTTTGTTGCCGGTTCCGTCGCCGTTTTCTTGACCAGCTCCGTCGTTTTTTTTTGGGGGGGGGTTCCGGTTTTGGTTCCGCTTCCAATCCCAGAGCCGTTTCTTTGCCGTTTCCAGTTTTTTGTTGTTGAACGCAAGCGACGTTTCCATTTTCAAGAGACGCTTTTCCGAAAACGATGAAACATTGGCCCTGCCATTTCTGGCGCCCACGAAGGAGTCGGCCCTGGTCAGTAGGCCGACCCTGCTACATCGAGGGTGCCCTTGTGCTCCGTGTCTCGCGACCCATGCCTTCAACGTTCCTACGGCAATGTGGCCTTCCGAAGGGTCTCGTGTCCTCTCGCGTGTCCTGTCCAGTCAAGTCCGACGGTACCGATGCCGCTACCCTTCCCTCGTCCTCCCCCTGTTGAATTGGGCCCTCCTGGGAGGCCCTCGTCGCCGCCGTTGGATTCGCCTCGCAATCGTGGTCACAGAACCCACCCCGGGAGAGGTCCAGGGACTACAGTCAACCCGCATAGGCAAGGATGAGCGAGTTTTCTAAGGTTGCCCTTGCATCCCTGCCCCTTGGGCCCGTCCCTGGCCGTTTTTGCCAGCCAGCCCCGCTCGAAGAACGTCAACGTGACCCTTCCATGCCCTTGCATGCTTACCGCGCCTCCTTGCTGTACGGTCTGACTGTGGCGGTCCCGGACATCGGGCCGCCCCAGTTTTTCGATGCGGGCCCAGGAGGTCTGGACCCCTTCCCCAGGGCGGGCTTTCCGTCCCGAGCGGTTGCCGGACGCTCCCCGGGCCCAGCGAGGGCCCCGGGAGGCCGAGCACTGCCCAGCTCCCGCCGCTCCAGTTATTTTTGGGGGGGAGCGTCGGATCCTCTGGGGGTGCCCTTGGCGCTCTCGCCGGGTGCACGGTCTGCGGCGGCCCGCCTGGCCCCTCGGGGCTCCGAGGGTTGAGGCGGCACGGGGCGGCGAGTGAGCATTGTCTTGTCCTCGTGAACGGAAGCTCCGCGGCGGGGATTTCCCCATAACCACCGCCTGGGGGTTCGACCTTCGCGGACCTCCACAGGCGGTGGATGTGGACATATTCGGCCCCCAACCATCTCCGTATCCACCGCCCGCTGGGGCACCAGGACGACGGTTCCCAGGCGGTGGGTATGGATGAATGCCCGCCTCGCAGACGTCTTGAATCCGACGGGGGGTTCTTTCCCGCCCGCCTGAGGATGAGCAAGGGGACGGCATTCTTCTCTGCTGGGGGCCTGACTCTGCTGCTGCTGAGGAATGCGTCCCGCCTCTGCTGTGCTGCTGCGAATTCGCTGCCGTGGCTGCCGAGATGCCGCCAGCGCCAGCGTGCGAGGGAGAGGGAAGGATACACAGCAGGAGGAGAAGAGAAGGGAGAAGGGAGAACGGAGACGAGATAAGAGAGAGAGGGACGTATGGAGGGAGGATGTGGGTGAGGAAGAGGATGATGATGATGATGATGATGATGATGATGATGATGATGATGATGATGATGATGATGATGATGATGATGATGATGATGATGATGATGACGATGACGATGATGATGATGATGATGATGATGATGGTGGTGGTGGTGGTGGTGGTGGTGATGATGATGATGATGAGGAGGAGGAGGCGGAACGCAGCCTGCGCCAGGGCTCCGAGCTGACGGATCTCCACTACGACATGGTAATCAACGCGTGCGAGCGGGCTGGGGAATGGCAGCAGGCCGCCGGCTTAGGCTGCACCGGCACCAGAGCAGTGGTCAAGCCCAGCCTCTGGGTGCCGAGAGGGGGCCGATGACTAGGGGGGGGGACATCCTGGCCGGGGGCGATGACATCGCTCCTGATTTCATGGCTCCCTCCTCTTAGGTCGGGCATGTCCTCCTACAGGAGGATTTTGAGGGAAACCAGTAAAAATAATAGAAACATCGTTCCATTTTTTTTGACAATTTTGAATATTCTTCCTGTAGAGGGACATGCCCGACTTAACCCTTATCTTCCAGCATGCCCCCCCCCGCTCCCCCTTTGGGCCGAGCACGTGCCTGGGGCCATGATTTGCGAACTCCCCTCCTGGGCTCCCCGAAACCTCGTCCACTGCCGCACCTTCTCTTCCTCCCTCTCCTTCTGCACGCGTATCTGCTATGTGCACCTCATCTTTTCAGGGGCAACGACAAGGGGGGATAGGCATAGGGGGGGATGCATCGACCCCCAATCGCCCCTTGATCGCAGATAGGGGTCTGATAGCCCCAACCTGCCCAGGAACGTGCGGATTCACTGTCGGGGGCCTGTCGCCGATCTATCGGCGATGCATCGCCGATTCCAGGTCGATACTTCCCCCCTCTGTTGGGGGAGCAAGCCGTGACATAAACATAATAACCTCGGAGGTCCGCGCGGGTTCCTGGGCGCGCGGAGCGCGCCTCAGGAGCGGCGCCGGAGGCGCCGCCCAAGGGGGCCCTGGCGCCGATCCGAACGATCCGCGCGGACCTTTGGGTTTTTATGTTTAGGTTGCTCTTTGTTCCCCTAGTTCGACGCAGCATCGATGCATGGAGGAGGAGGAGGAGGAGGAGGAGGAGGAGGAGGAGGAGGAGGAGGAGGAGGAGGAGGAGGAGGAGGAGTATTTCGTAGAGCATGGCGCGAAGCACCCCTGCTTCTCAGAGTCGGGGGTGGACAGAACCCCCACCCTGACACGTCGATACGTGAATTGTCCGTTTTGGGTTCTCGAGAGGGCGCCGCGGCCGTCATTTTCCAGGCTCGCGCCCGCCAGGTTTGGGCCCGAGGTCGTTTTCACGAAACCACGTTTTACTAAGGTTCTGTCCATCCCCGATCTAGTTTCCCTCAGTATCGGGCGAAGAGAATTATGCACATGCACCGATCCTGGCAAGGCCCATCTTTGACCCAGGATCGGTGCATATGCCTTCCTGGCCAAGGTAGGAGGGCGTATGCACCGATCCTGGGCTCAGGATGGGCCTGGCCAGAATCGGTGCATGTGCATAGTTCTTTTTCCTCTATCAGTACCTTTGCCAGTCCCCCCCAATCGTTGCCCCGCACCTCTGGTCGAGCCAGGGCGCGCGCGCGGCCGCGTCCTCTGGTCGCCGTGCGCGATGCGGTAATATAGCGTCCTGCGCGCTCGCGTGCTGGCCCCCCCGGGGGCCCCCGGAAAGCCGCGCACCGGAGATCCCTCTTGCCCAGGGTCATTCTTGCGTGCTGACGAGCCTCAGCCTCTGGTCGAGCCAGAGCACGTGCGGCCGCGCCCTCCAGTGCCTCTGCGTGTGTGCATTGAGATGTGATATACAGCGGAGGCCCACGCCGAGAAGCACTCTGCTTGCCCTCCAGGGTGCCCTGGGTTTCTCAGGCTTTTCTATGGTTTTGCTATGGAGCGCGTGACGTTCCCCCACTCTGGGTTGGGTTTCTAGTAGAAGGTTTCCTGTCCTTTGGTCCTGGGGTCTCAGGGTTGGGTTCCTAGTGGAAGCTTTCACCCACCGCGTGCGTTTTTCTGTGTCCTGGGGTCTCAGGGTTGGGTTTCTTGTGGAAGGTTTCCTGTATCGCCGAGGCCGCCTGCACCCTTTTCCGCGGAGAGAATGCTGCACGTTCCGAGCGCGGCGCTTCTCTCTCCTCCTGCTGCTGCTCCTCCTGCTGCTCCTCCTGCTGCTCCTCCTGCTGCTCCTCCTCCTCCTCCTCCTCCTCCTCCTCCTCCCCCTCCCCCTTCTCCTCCTCCTCCTGCCCCTCCTCCTCTTCCTCCTCCTCTTCTCTTCTCTCTCTCTCTGCCGCTTCTCTGCGGCCGCGCCTCCTTCTTCTTTTTTTTCGCCAGATTCTCCGCGGCTCCGTTCGTCGAGAACGAAAGAATCCTTCACCTTCTGATGTTCCAACCTACTTTAGCCTTGGTCACCGGAAAGAGTTTCGAGCACAAGTGCCAACATTTTTTTGGGGGGGGTTCGCGCGTCGGGCCCTGGGAGGCGACACTCGTTCGACACTGTTTCGATACTTCTTTGGGTGCTCGAAATGATTTCTGGAATGTGGTCCTTAAGTACGATGGGAGCAACATAGCCCTGACCTTAAGAGTCGGGCATGTCCTTGGAATGCTCAGAAATTGTTCACATGTAGTAAGAGGACGATTTTCGACTACTCTTGACCGGTTCTGAGTCTTTTTGATATGTTTCATTCGTATTCCAAAATCCGCCTGTAGGACGACATGCCCGACTTAAGCCTGACCCTAAGAACACGATGAAGACCTGGCCTCACTTGGGTCCCCATCTTCGCATCTGGGATAACAGCTCTGGGCGGTTCGGTTTGATACGTCTGCAGAAAATACCCCCAATCCCGACAGCCAACCCGCATAGTAGGGGTGGGCAACCTTCTCAAGTGTACCCTTTCATCCTTGCCTCCTCGGTCCATCCTTGACCGCTTTCGTTGGCCGCGCCCCGCTCGAAAGCTTCGAAATGGGCGTCCAAGGCCTTTGCATCCTTATCGCGCATCCTTATTATGCGGGTTGACTGTAGTGGGGTTCATCCACACCTCCCTCCCCACTCCCCCTCCCCTCCAGAGCTGGAAGTGGTCATCCTAACTTAGGTCCTCTCCCAAAGGGTTAGTGGCCCTTTTATTGTTCCTCATCCGTGCCGCTCTCCCACTTCTGCGTCAATCTCAGCGCGCAGCGAGCTCTGCCGCGCCCCGGGGAAGCTGCTGCTCGGCGCTCCGTGTCCCACGGCGCCGCGGGCAGAAGTCGAAGGGCTCGCACGGGACGGGGGGGAGGACCCAGCCCCATCCGCCCCAGTCTCCCCCGCTCCTCCTCCGTCCCTGTGTCCCCCCTTGCCCTGCGCGAGTGGGCCGATGCCCGCTGTGCCTCGTCCGCTTCCGCCTCCCGCGGAACGATCAACCTCCACTCATCGACGTGCTTCAGCTACTACGCTGCGGCTCATTGCATCATACACTCAAGTGTGCTGGGAGGAGGAGGGAGGTAAGAGAGGAGGAGTACGGCAGGACAAGGAAGATGATGACGATGAGGAGTGATATGATGACGACGATTGTGATTGTGGTAGTGATGGTGGTGTTGCTGTTGGTGGTGGTGATAGTAAAGATGATCAGTTGATGATGGTGGGGAGGGAGGAACGGGGCAGGGAGGACGAGAGGGAGGAGGGAAGGCGAAGGTAGGAGGGAGGGTAGAGAGGTGTAGGAGGAGGCGGAAGATGAAGAGGAAGTGGTGGTGGACGTGAATGTGGATGGGTAAGAAGGGGACGCCCAAAGGCCAGAGGGTGAGGAGTGTAAGGTTGTCTCCATATTCATTCGAGATCGAACTAGCGGGCGCCCTGGGTGTTCTCGCGGCGGCTATCCATCTGCCCTCCAGAACACGCCGACGCGGCCGTTAAGACAGTCGTTACGCTGTTCAGGCCAGGTCAACCATGGCAGGACAAACTACTTAGGATAATGACCTGGCGGCACGCACGCCACACTGGTGCACGACCTGTGCTTGTACCAGTTCGCGCACGGACTCGTGCACGACTTCTGCTGCTCGCACGCGATGTGAGATCACGGTCCCACTCGCCGTGGCCAAACAAGCACGGGGACACTTCTGAAAAAATCGACCACGACGCCGTTTAGCTCGGCTTTGGCCTTTGTTTTGTGTTTCGTTCAGTCTTGCGACGTTGCTCTGTTTCGTCGTTCCTTTTTATGTCATTCGCCTCGTTTCGTTTGTCGTTTGTCTTGGCACCGTTCGTTTCAAACGTTAGTTTCAAACGTTGGGTTGGGTTTTTCTCCCGTTTTCGTTTTGGACACTACAGTCAACCCGCACATAAAGGATTGACAACCTTCCCAAGGATACCCTTGCATCCTTGCCCCTTCGGCCCATCCTCGGCGGGTTTTTCGGGCCGCGCCCCGCTCGAAAAGCTTCGACGTGTCCTTCCAAGGCCACTGCATCCTTATCGTGCTTCCTTGATCTACGGGTTGACCGTATTTCGTTTGAAGCATCGTTGTTGTGAGTCCTCGCTTTTTGGATCGATGCCGTTTGATCCTTCTGCCTCTTCTCCATCCTCCTCGTCTTGCTCCTCGCCGTCTTCCTGGCCCTCCGTCTCCCCCACTTCATGCGCCCTCCCTCCAGGATGGAGCAGGGAGGATCATTCGAATCATGATCACGATCATGAGGAGGAGGACGATGAGGAGGAGGAGGCCGACGGAGAAAACGAGGGGAGGAAACAGAAATGACAGGATGATGAGGAGGAGGATGAGGAGCGGGAGGAGGAGGAAGAGGAGGGGAGTACGAGGGGGAGGAGGAACAGATGTAGGATGATGAGGAGGAGGCGGAGGAGGAGGAGCAGCAGCAAACGGAGGAAGAAGAGAAAGAGGAGGAGGAAGGAGGACGAGGGTGCCCGGGTGGAGCATGGAAGATGGGGGAGGGAGGGAAGGAGAGAGGGAGGAGAAAGGGAGGAGGGAGTGATGGGGGAGGGAGGACGGTAGGGAGGGAGGGAGGTAGGGAGGGAGGGAGGAGGGCGAGGGCCGAGGCAGGAGGGAGTGTGAGAATTGGCTGGGGGAGGGAGGGAGTGACGGGGGGAGGGAGGGAGGGATGGGAAGCGCGCGCAACAGAGGGAGCGGAGGGGCGAGAGAGTCGGCCGCCTTGCCAGAGGTCGTAGGCGTGGCCGCCCGAATGGGCGCGCGCGGCATCAACCCGCACGAAATCTCGTGCAACAGCGTGCTCAAGGCGTGCGTGAACATCGGCGAGTGGCAGGCGGCTGTCTCAAGCCTCCGCACGCGCCAGCCCCGTCGTGCTCGCACCGCCCCCCGGAAGTGCAGTTGCCGAGCTCTGGCCTGCTTGATTGCGATGATGATAAAGAGGATAAGGAAGAGCAGGAAGGTGTTGATGGTGAGGAGGAGGAGGCAGAAGAGGAGGAGGAACGCGATTGGGACAAGGATGATGTTGTATATGATGATGATGATGATGCTGATGATGATGATGATGATGATGACGATGATGATGATGCTCGTCCTGCTGATGATGATCATGATGCTGCTGATGATGATGATGATGTTGCTGCTGCTGCATATCATGCTGATGATTCTGATGATGCTGATGCTGCTGATGCTGATGATGGTGCTGATGCTGATGCTGATGCTTATGCAGATGATACTTATGCTGATGACGATGCTGTTGATGAGGATGGTGATGCTGATGATGCTGACGATGATGCTGATGATGATGCTGATTATGATGATGATGCTGATGATGATGATGATGATGATGATGCTGATGATGATGATGCTGATGATGATGATGATGATGATGATGTTGGTGATGATGATGATGATGATGATGATGATGATGATGATGATGATGATGATGATGATGCTTATGATGATGATGATGATGATGATGATGATGATGATGATGATGATGATGATGATGATGATGATGATGATGATGATGATGATGATGATGATGATGATGATGATGATGATGATGATGATGATGATGATGATGATGATGATGATGATGATGATGATGATGATGATGATGATGATGATGATGATGATGATGATGATGATGATGATGATGATGATGATGGATGATGATGGTGGTGATGGTGGTGGGGGTGGCGGTGATGATGATGCGACTATGGTTGATGATTGTGCTGATGGTGATGGTGTTGATGATGATACCGCTGTCGATGATGCTGTTGCTGGTGATGATGATGCCGGCGGTATGGAGGAGTGGGGAGGATGATGTTATAGGCTTCCGCCACATCCGCCGACTCCTTGAAGTAGCGGGGGATCCCATCTTGGGCCATCTTGGCCGTCTTTGATGCCATCTTTGCGGTCTTGGGTCTTGTCCATGCGGCGTTTTAGAAGCCATCTTCGACCGTCCAGGCCCGTCTTGGGGGCCCCTTGGTCCAATATCGGAGGCTTATCAGACTGCACGATGCTGTCAGAAGCTCGAGATGGCGAAACGAACCATGAACAGCAGTGATGTTCGGCCTCCTGGGGGCCTCATGGCGGACTTGATGTAGCAACTTGGAGTGATATGGGGGTCACTTTGGGTTCTTCTCGGTCTATCGTGGCCGTTTCGGAGACAACTTGGGCCATCTTGGGCCTCTCGATGCTTTCTGGGAGTCTTTGGGGTGGCCTCCTGGGGGCACTTGGCGGCCTCCAGGGCCCCTGCTGCTGCTCTACGGGGCCTTGTTGGGGTGTAGAGTTCGAACAGTCAGTCCCTGTTCCCACTCTTGGGCCCGTCTTGACGCCATCTCGGGGTTCTCTGGGGCCGTCTTGAAGGGCTCTTGGGCCGTGCTGGGGTTCTCTTGGGCCGTTTTGCAGCCCTCCTGGAGGCCTCTGGGGCCGTTCTGGATTGATCTTGGTGGCCACTGCGGGCGTCTTCCACGAGGTGAACGCGCAAGGGGCGAATCTGCTACAATTTGATAATTTCCTTGGAGAGCGGGGCGATTTTTGCTAGTCGGGCCCTGCCGATAAACACTTTTGTGGGCCTCTTCGGGCGTCTTGAAAACGCCTTGGGCTGTCGGGACCCATCTTGGGAGCCTTGGAACGACGTTTCGGCGACGCCTGGCCCTCTTGGACCAGCTTGGGAGCCCTCCTGGACCAGCTTGAGTGCCTCTTGCATCCCTGACAGAGCCTCCCCATGAGGAGCCCATTCGGGGGTCAGGCCGAGCCTCGGGGTCAAGTCGTGTATGTCCATCTACAGGAGGAATATTCAAACATAGTTAGAACATAGTCGGGTGACGATTGTTCTGTTATTTTTGACAATTCGTGAACATGTTTTGATTATTTTTCAGTTATCGTCCAAAATCCGCCTGTTGGAGGACATGTCCGACCTAATCATGGGGGTGGTCAAATATCTAGTTTCGGGGTCCTGTGGGTGGGGTTCTGTGGGGAGATGAACCTCGCACTCCCAGGGACCCACGAGTGGTCGGCGGCTCTGGGTGAGCAAGGAGGGAGAGTGTTGCGGATGAGGAGTTTGATCTGATGATGAGGATGCAGTGGGTAAGAAAGGATGATGATGCTGATGATGCTGATGATGATGATGATGATGCTGATGATGATGCTGATGATGATGATGATGATGATGATGATGAGGATGATGAGGATGATGAGGATGATGATGCTGATGATGATGATGATGAGGAGGAGGAGGAGGAGGAGGAGGAGGAGGAGGATGAGGAGGAGGAGGAGGAGGAGGAGGATGAGGCGGAGGAGGAGGAGGAGGAGGAGAGGAGGAGGAGGAGAAGACTAATAATAGAAAGAAGAGGGGGAGGAGGAGGAGGAGGAGGAGGAGGAGGAGGAGGAGGAGGAGGAGGAGGAGGAGGAGGAGGAGGAGGAGGGAGGAGGAGGAGGAGGAGGAGGAGGAGTATGGGGCTGTTTGCGAAAGGCGCGCGCGCGGGGAGGGAGGGGAGGGGATGTGACGCACTGGGGTCGAAGTCAGGCGGCAGCAGCAGCAGCGCCACAGCGAAGGACAGGAGGTGCCCTTGCGATCGGTATGGAAGCGGGCTGCGGGCTGTCTCCCTGGGGCTGTCTGGATGCCCTGTCCAGCGGGGCTCCCACTGGACAGTGAAGGAGGGCTCCCTCCTGCCCAGTTTCTGCCACAGTCGTGTCGTCGTCTCGCCCGCCGCCTTTGTCGGGGCTCGGAGAGGGGAAAAGGGCAGGGCGGGGAGAGATGACCAAGAGGAGGCGTGCACGCACTCCTCCTCCTTCTCCTACTCCTCCTCCTCCTGCTCCTCCTCCTCCTCCTCCTCCTCCTCCTCCTCCTCCTCCTCCTCCTCCTCCTCCTCCTCCTCCTCCTCCCCCTCGTCCTCGTCGTCGTCGTCGTCGTCGTCGTCGTCGTCGTCTCGCCCGCCGCCTTTGCCTTTCCCACTGGGACCTGGCCCCCCCACGCGCTGGCCCTGCCACGCCCTGTGCCTTGAGCCCGCGGCAACGGAGGTGGCTAGGAACCTGCTCAGCAGCATGGAGGGCAGCGGTACCGCCCTGGACTGCAGGGCCTACGCGACCGTGCTGCAGGGCTGCACTGCCGCGGAGCAGTGGGACCAGGTGGGGCGATCTCCCGCCGGGCACGGGCCCTGGGCAGCCGGCCGTAGGGCTGAGCTTCGGGCGGCTCTCCTGTGTCGGGGTCGCACGGGGGGCGGCAGGAGGAAGGCACGACAGGGCCCGTTTTCGCCCGGTCGGTCCGATTAACAAATCGATTCCAGTCGGCTCGGTCCGATTCGATTCCGAGATTCCGGTGCTCCGATGCGGCCCGATGCTCGCGTGGCGCTGTTGGACATCCTGGCGCAGCCCGTCCGAGTCGATTTCGACTCCGAGCCGATGCAGCACGATCCGTCGCACATTGCGATTCGATCCAGCTTGCCAGTTGCACTGACTGATCCTGCACGGGGAAGGATGGATGGGGATGCACGCGCGTGCGCGGGGGGCGGGGAGCGGGCGGCGGGGGGAGGGGAGTGTTTTTGATGCTCATTCGTGCTGTGGTTGTTTTTTCTCCATCAGCGCAGCCAGTTTTGAGTCGAGGGCGTGAGAACACCTCTGCAGGGGCGGGAGGGCACCTGTCACGGGGTACATGTTGAGGCGGCTTGCCAGCCAGGAGGAGGACGAGGGGGGAGGGGGAGGGGGGGGAAGAGATGGGAAGTCTGGCTCCTCTTCCAGCTTTTTGCTGCTGCTCTTGCTTCTGCTGTCGTTCCCACTTCTGCTCCTCCCTCGCTCACCGACGGGGTCGATTCGGGCGTAAGTGTGGTTTCAACGGAACTGCGCCCAGCGTTGCCAGGAGGTCGATAAGCGTACGTATGTCGGGATGTGGGTTACGCTGACCGTCATTCTCTTTGGAATCCGGATCACTTTTTTTTTGTTTGGAATCTCTGGGACAGCACGGAGGGGTCACAAACACGGCTACCCCGAACTGTTGGACGAAATCGGGAAGCCAGAATTCCAGAATTAACCGGAGTTGACCGTTTGACAGCGACCAGCGACTCATGCCTCAACATTTTCCTCGCCCTCATCCCCCTCTCCCTACACCCCCACTGTTACTGGTGATCCTCTTCCTCCTCTGTCCCCTCTTCCTCCTGCCATGGGGGCGGTGGGTGGGGGAGATCGGCTGGGGGTTGGGCAGTGAGATACTTAGGAACTGGAAGTAAGAACCGCACATAAATTCTTGACGCTTCGCGTATTCCCACCAGCCCATCCTACACCAGGCACTCGAACGAAGAGCGCCGATGATCGGCAGCTGTTCTCCTCCCCTCTTCCTTCTCCTCCGCCTTCTCCTCCTCCTCCTCTCCTCCTCCTCCCTCTCCTCCTCCTCCTCCGCCTCTTCCTCCTCCCTGGTGGCGTATTGGAAGTGTCTTCGAACGTTTTGGTGGGCTCTTGGGCCTTGCGGGCGGGCGGGCGGCGCTCCGCCCGCCCGCGCGCAGAGCCCAAGAGGGGGTCTAAGACGTCTTTTGGAACAATCTTGGAGGAGATCGATCAACGAAGGGGGGTTCCCTAATTACGGTCCCCCCCTCAGGAGCCACGATCCTCGTGAGGGGTGTCGAATTTCAGCCTTCCCAGGAGTCGATCTTGGACGCTCTAACTACCCGCGGCCCCCCCTGTCCAGGTCAGTGGGGAGGGGGTAGGGGGAGGGGTAAACCCCTCCCCGAAGGGGAAGAAGGAGGGGTGGAAGAGGAAACGCTCTAAACCACCGACAC